AATAACAGTGGGGAGAGTGGGCATCCCTGTCTTGTTCCCGATCTCAAAGGAAAAGCTTTCAGCTTCTCGCTGTTCAGTATGATGTTGGCTGTGGGTTTATCATATATGGCCTTTATTATGTTGAGGTACTTGCCCTCTATACCCATTTTGCTGAGAGTTTTTATCATGAATGGATGTTGAATTTTGTCGAATGCTTTTTCAGCATGTATGGAGATGATCAGCATCAATTTTGCCAAACAATTCTGATGTGGCAAAAAATTCTTAAACAGGATACAGAAAGCATTAATGATAAAAGAAACATTTTTAAGTTGGACTTCAGTAAAATTTAAAATTCTTTTATCAAGAGATAGCATTAATAAAGTGAAAAGATAAGCCACACAGTGGGAGAAGATATTTGCAATACCTGCAGTGGTACAAAAGACTTGTACCTATGGGATAAAAAGAACAAACATCAGTGAGAAAAAAGCAGAACCTCAATATAAAAATGTGCAAAAAAACTTGAGCAAGTGCTTCACAAAAGAGGATATCCAGGTAGCAAAAAATATTATGAAAAGGGGCTAACCTCTTTAGTCATTATGGAAATAAATATTAAAAAACATGCTTGAAATACCATTAGACATACCCCAAAGGGTTATTTTTTGAGTGATATATAAAGTATTGGTGAGGATGACAAGCAGCTGGAACTCTACACTTTTCCAGTGGGAATGTAAATTGTTACAAATACTTTGGAAATAGTTTGTCACTGTTTATGAAAGTTGAGCATAGGCAGACCCAGCAAGTATACTCCCTGTGTGTGCCCTACAGAAACTTGCATGTATAAACACCAACAAACATCCAAGGAAGTTCTTATAATCACTATTTGTAATATCCCAAAACAGAAAATGACCTATCGAATACCTGTCAGTAAATCAATACATAAACAATAAATAAATTGTGTCCCACGTGTACAATGGTATGTTTTAGAGCAATGAAAGTAAATATACTAGTGCTACACACAACATGGATGAAACGTAACATTGAGTGGAAATACTATACCAAAAATTTCATAAGCATACAAAACCAATCCATGGTGATAAAATTAAAGAATGAATACATCAAAGTGGTGCAGTGGTGTCTGGGAAGAATCCCAAAGTGGGAGGTGGCAATGTTCTATTTTTTGATTGGGTGAAGGTTATTTAGGTATATTTACTTTATGAACATTCATTGAACTGTCCTTAACACTTGTTCACTTTTAAGCATATATATTATATTTTTCTGTTTTTTTCAGTTTGCTTGCAAAAACCAGGTATCAAAAGCCCAAGTATCAAAATCCATCAATATGAGAACAGATAAAAATAAATGATGGCATATGCAAACAGTGGAATACTACTCAGTAATAAAAAGAATGAATTACTGATCATGAATAATCCTCAAAAATATAATTTGTGTGTTTCATTGTTACATAAATGTTGCCTCAAAACAGTAAAAAAAACCGAACAGATATTGAACTCTCTAGTTAATATATTAGGCATGCTGATTTACAGAGAGCTGTATTAGTATTTATAATTTACTTTGAAATACATCCAAAAATTAAGATGGATTAATGGACGAATTCAGAAATAAATGCAAGTACAATAAAATGTTAATGTTGGAATATAGGATGGGTATGACATGTTCAGTATAAAATTCTTCAAACTTCTGTATGTTTGAAAAGTTCCATGATAAAATGTTGAAAAAACCATATATTTAAACAATAATAATATTGGGAGAAGGCAAAAATATTAAAGAGAAAATGAACCCTAAAATGCATACTTAGCATTAGTGGCCATAATTTTCTCCTAGAGCTTTTTAAATTAAAATGCCAATGTTATCTTTCATCTCCTATGTCCTCTTCATTGACCCTTCTTCACCTTTCTCTCCAGTGTTATGATATGCTCTTCAAATTTTAGGAAAGAAAATAATATTCTTGGGAAATATTAAAATATATAGTATTAATGAAATATTCTGAAAAGGGATTTTGTTTCTCTTTTCCTGTGTCACATGGAAATTTGGAAGTTGGCTTCTATTGAAATGGTTTGTGTAAAAAAAACAGGTAAAGTTTAAAGTTTGAATTTGCTCAAGTGAATCAATGATAATTTGTCACTCGACAGCTGTTGCTAATACAGATTCCCATCTAGAAAGTGGATCTCATGCAGAGAGTGAAATATACAACCCAGTCACTAGCACCAGTCAATAAAATTTAGTTTGCTACTTTTTTCTATAGGTATGTCACATAGTTCTGGGGTTAAGACCAGCTACTCCAGAAGAGGAAGGACAAATTATTAGGTAAGTTTGTAGATTGAATGTGTGTATTTTTCATTATGTAGTTGAACTTTCTAACACCTGAAATATATTGTTACTACATAACAAAATGGTACTATTTTAATGGAATCATTGCAGTAACATCCTGTTTCTTTGGAATACTTACATATTTAAATATTTTTATTAAAGTAACTTCTGAACTAAGGGATTGGATTAATTTAGAAAGCAAATTCTATTTAACATTAAAATTGCACTGAGTACTGAATTTAATTTTTTGAAATAAAAGATATAAGATAAAAGCATTTTTTTATTGTACAAGAATTATAAAGTAGAACTAAGCAAAAAGAAACAAAAAATGACCATCATCTATATTTATACTTAATTGCTATCGACATTTTTTCAGCTTTATTTAGATATAATTGACAGGTAAAATTGTAAGATATTTCATGTGTACAATGTGATGATGATTTGATACATATATGCTTTGTGAAAGGATTCCCACTGTTGATTAACATGTCCATCACCATCACCTCACATACACCTTTTATTTATTTAAAAATATGGAAGAGACATGAATAGACATTTATCCAAACATGTGTAAATGAATGACTAATATGCCCATAAAACCCAGCAGCATCTTTAGGGAAGGCAAATTAAAACACAATGAAAGGACTGATTTCAGTGAAAATGGTGTAGTAGGTAGCTCTAAGAGCATGTCTCTCCACAGAAACATTGAAAAATACAGGAGAAACTGTCAAAATAAATTTTGTTAGAATTCTTGAAAGGAGTCAAAGGTTTATAGCAATCAAGTGAATGCTGAAAAAGAAGAAAAGCCAACTTAAAAACAGTAAGAATGCTTTATGGCATTTATATTTACCCCTGCCTGGTTCACTGTCAGTCTTGAAGATGGCAGCCTGTGTTTCTAGTTTAAGTATCTATTCCCTGGTTTCAGGTGGGACAGAGCATACCTTACTCATAAAGATCTGTGTTTGTTCTAACCTATTTGGGTTTACTTGAAGAACTGACACAAGTAGCTCAACTCTGTTACCCCTGTCTGAGAACTTTACCAGGCTGGAAAAGCAGTGGGCGTTCTTCAAAAATATGGTAAGGCAAATGAACAAACTGCAGCCACCTGGGGCAAAATATTACACTTCAGCCATACAACAGAATGCCAGAAGTCTAGGAGGGAAAGGGAGATGATTTTGCTTAGAGAACTCAAGCATTCAAAAGTATACTTGTATCTAGGGAATTTAGAAAGCCTTGCACATACTCATGGCAAGATGCACATTCAGAATAAACTTGAGAACATACCCATATTTACACCACTGGCTAATCTCTAGAATAAGGGCATGCAGGAAATGAAGGCTAAGGCGGATGTAAACAGCCTGACTAAGCATTGAAGAGTTCCCTAGCACAGAGCCATTCTTCAAAGACAAGAGAGGTTTTTGTTTCCTCTTTATCCTTTTCCTCCCACCCCCATCTCCACCCTCTTCCTTCTCCTTTTTGCTTTTCTTCCTCTCCTCTTCCTCCTCCTACCCCCTCTTCTCTCTCTCTAGCCCAGCCACCATCTCCTCTCTCTCCCTCCTCCTATCCCTGTGATTCAGAGAAATCTGTCAAAATACTAGCTGAGCACAGTGAAATGAAGAGAGAATTCAAGACCACACATAACAAAGAATACAGACTTAACAAAGAACAGTTCAGAAATGTCACTAAGCAATTTCAGCATGCAACAAAAGCAAACCTGGAGGAGTAGAGGGAAATCTGATTTCCAAAGTTACCATATTATATATTCAAAAGGTCTAGTTTTCAGCAAATATTATAAAACATGCAAAAAGGAAAAAGGAATGGCCCATTTACAGAAGATAGTAACAGAAAACTGCCTCTGAGGAAGTACAGACATTGGGCTTAGTAGACAAAGATTTTAAATCAGCTATTTTAATTATGTTCAAAGAGCTACTGGAAACTATGAACAAAGAGGTAAAATACACCAGGAGAATGATATATGAACAAATAGATGAATAACATCAACAAAGAGAGTTTTTTTTTTTTAAGTATGAAAAGGTACCAAGCACAGCTTATGGAGCTGGAAAGTACAATAACTGAAATGAAAAATTCACTAGAGGGGTGTATTACCTCTAGTACCAGGAGACCTGTGGGATAGCAGCAAGCATACCAACATACACATGATGGGACTGCCTCTCAGAAGAAGAGGAGGAGAAAAATGGCAGAATATTTGAAGAAATAAAGGCCCCAAACTTCCCAAACTTGATAGAAGATGTGAACTTAAACATCCAGAAATCCCATTAAACTCCAAGAAAGATAAACTCTAAGAGATCCACACCAAGATACATTATAATCAAATTGTCAGAACCCAGATAGAATTTTAAATGCAGCAAGGGAGAAAATACTGATCATATACAATGGATACTTAATAAGAGTTAACAGTGCTTTTCTCATCAGAAACCTTGGAATCCAAAAGTGATTGGAATTAAAGTGCTAAAAGAAAAAAAAGGACTGTAACAAAGAATTCTTTATGCAGCAAAAACATTTCTTCAGGAGTGATTTTGATTTTGAAATGGATTTTGATACTGGGACACCAAAAGCATGAGCAGCCAAATTAAAAATAGATAAATTTGACTTCATCAAAATGTAAAACTTCTGTGCATTCAAGGACATTGTCAAAATAAAAAGACTACAGAATGGGAAAAAATAATTGTAAACCATAGCTCTAATAAGTGTCAAGTAACCAAAATATATAAAGAACTCCTACAGCTCACCAACACAACAGACAAAAAACTCAAAAAATGGGCAAGGGACTTGACATTTCTCCAGAGAGGGTGTACAAATGGTGCGTCATCAAGCACATGAAGAAATACTCAAAATCATTAGTCATTGAGGAATGCAACTCAAAACCACAATGAAATTCCACTTCACATCTACAGGATGTTTGTAATTTAAAAAATGGATAATAAATTTGTAAGGATATGGAGAAACTGAGACCCTCATATATTGCTGGTGGAAATGTAGAGTGGTATAGCTGCTATGGAAAACTATCTGGTAGTCCCTCAACATGGAATTAACCACTTGTAGATATATACTCAAAAGAATTGAAAACAGGGACTCAGATACTTGTACACAGATGTTCATAGTGGCACTATTCACAATAGCCAAGAGGTGGGAACATCCTAAATATCTATAAGCGAATGAATAGATAAACAAATGTGGCATGTGTATTATTTAAAAAGGAATGATGTACTGATACATCGTGAGCGTGCAACAAAAGGTCACATCTTTTATGATTTCCATATGAAATATCCACAATAGGTAAATCCATAGATACGGAAAGCAGATTGGTGATTGCTAAATGCAGGGAGAAGGGAATAATAGAGAATAACTGCCTAATGTATAACTGCTTAGTTGAGACTTATGAAAATGTTTTGGAGAAATTCACATAACATAAAATTAACCATTTTAAAGTGTAAAATTCAGTGGCATTAGTACATTCAAAATGTGCCACCACCACATTATGTGAATTTCTCCTCAATAAAAATGCTATTTTAAAAGTCACAATGTGATGCCATTTCACACCTTCTAGGACATTTATGATAGAAAATACAAACAATAACAAGTGTTGGCAAGAATATGGAGAAACTGAAACCATCATACATTACTGATGGGAATGTTAAATGCCTCCTTTGGAAAACAGTTTGCCAGTTTCAAGTGATCAGATTTTAGATGGGCAAACAAAACATGGTATATACATACCTGTGTACTATCAGTAATAAAAAAGAACAGACTAATGATATCTTCTATAACATAGATGAACCTCAAAGTCATTATGCTATAAGGAAGAGAGACCAGATATAACAGACTACATGTTACAGAATTCCATTTATAAGGAATCTTTAGGAAAGGACAATTTGTAAGAGATAACTACTGGTTTCCGAGGCTGAGGGTGGTAACACAGGTTGACTAAAAATGGACACAGGGTATCTTTTTGGGGTAATTGAAATGTTCTAAAATTGGATTGTGGGGATGTTTGTATATGTCTGTATATTTAACAGAATCATGGAATTGTACACTTAATTCTGGTAAATTTTACTTTATGCAACTATTCCTTAATAAGGCTGTTTTTAAAACATCAGTATGAGACTTGATAGTGTTGGTATGCCTCCTGAAATTAGCTTAAGAGTGTTTCACAAATTGAAATTGTGACTATCTCCTGGGTATATCTGTTTCATGTTTTTCATGTATAAAAACTTCTAATGATAATTTGTGGGTATTTGGTCATGTCTTTCACACACCATTTGGTGTACTAAATTTCTCTTGTATGTACAGAGGCTGGTTAGAACGAGAGAGCAGGTATGGTCTGCAACCAGGACACAATTGGTTTATCATCTCCATGCAGTGGTGGCAGCAGTGGAAAGAATATGTCAAATACGTGAGTAAGAGTCCTGTTAATTGACATTTTTCATACAATTTTCAACTCCATCAAACTTTGTGTGACTACTGGCCGGTAGTAAAGTGCTCCAAACCTAGATAAAGATTTGAAGGAGAAATTAATGAATGCCTATGTGATACTTGCTGTGGACCAGGCTCTGTGCTTAAACTTCCACATCAATTTCCTCCCTTGCAACAACTCTCGGGAAGGTAATACTGGACATGGGGGTGCATATATGCACCTCACATATCTCATTTGATTTTCATAGTATCCCTGTGAGGAAATGGTATTACACTCATTTTACCTGTGAGGAACCTACGGCTGAGATTAAAGACAACTGAATATCGTGCTAAGGGTGGCAGTTCTGGAAACAAATCCAAGGGACTGACTTTAAAACCAGTGGTGTCTCAGCTTACATTATTTTTATTTGTTCACCTTTTTCATCAAAATTCTGTTCAGGAAAGTTAATTTCAGAACATTAGAGCTCAATTTCTAAATGAAAATCTGCTATTATTCTTAATAGTTAAAAAATTCTCATTAGTGAATATTGTAGTCTTTTTTAAAACATAAAAAGCTTTTTCAAAATTAGGAAATTATAAAGAATAATGCCAGAAATTAAAGTTCACCATTCATGGAGAGCAGGTTGATATATATACTGATTGACAGTTGCCAAATGATCATTAACCAAAATCCTGATAATTTTATTCATATTTTTCTTATATGTCCTTTTCTGTCATTGTTTATCAGAATATTGGTAGACTGTTTACATTATCTACCTCATTATTCTGCCGGGTTCTCTTTCCCTTTAGCAGAGTTTAGTAATGTTTTCACATGTAAAATACACTAATTGGAAAAAGTAGGCTTTGGTATCACCTAAGGAGTAAAAGTAGGCAAATTACTTCAAACCTTGTAGGCAAATGATGATGGTGATTATAGGTATAAAATGAGAACATTGGGGTAAAGCATCACAGTCTATTTTGAAAGGCTTTTTGGTCTTTATATTCTTAGTTTGGCCTTAGAATGAATGGTTACTAATGTCTTACTGGCTACAGACTAAAATATTATTTAGCTTTGGTTTTAAAGTTATTACTTCTTGTTCCTTATAGGAACATGATAGAGGTCTTGCTCTTAGCAGTACATCTCTTATAAACAGACGGAAGTGCACTGCTGAGAACATGAATCTAGTTCTTGCCTGCTCCAACCCTTCTATTCATTAAAAGAATTAGTGGAGGGGTAGTAAGGTGGGGGTAGAAGTCTACACTGAAGTGTCATATTCATCTCCCCACTCTGGCATTCTGTATTACTGTCTAGTAGTGCCTGTCAAATGCAGACTTTAAAGTCTACTTTAAAACGGAGACTGCCAAACTGTTGTGAGAAACCTGGGAAGAAAGTATCAGTTCATATGGAGGGAAAGGTAATAGAGACTAGGGCAACTTATTTAATAAGGAGGGAAAAAATGTAAATGAAATTACAGCCGTCCTTTCTGAACATACCTATTAATTAGGAAAGTGTTCTTTACTAAATAAAGAACAACTTCTTTTAAATGCAAGTAAGTTTTTTAAAAAGTAACATTCTGAGCTTTGATTTCCCTATCTGTAAAGTGACAGTAATAATTGTGACCTCCCTTAGAGGGTGTTACAAGGATTAAAGACTTGGTATGTCTTAAGTGTTTTAGAATATCTGGCACATAGTAAGTATAAGTACTCAATAAATATTAGCTAATATTATAAGAATCCATTATAGGATAATGCTAGTGAATTTATAATTCTGTGTTAAAGAGTCCTGTTTCTGCTACTTGCTGTGCAATTTGAATAAGTTACGTATTCTTTCTTTACCTCAGTTTCCTCATACAAACAACAGGATTAATAACAATATCTATTTCAATAGTGTTATAAAAATGCACATGAGTTAATATAGATGAAGCACTTAGCCCCATTACTGGCAAGTAAAAACCCTATATAAAGTTAGGTAGTAATATTAGTAAGACTAGCAGTAGTTATAGCAACAGTAGCAGTAGTAATTAGTGATTTAAATTTACTTTTTAATATGTATGGCAACTTTAACAAATGCCCTGCTTAAAAAAGAATAAATGGGTGTTACTATCATATTGGATAATTTGATCTTACTCTGGATTTAGTCTGTCTACCTAAGATGTTAGTTAGCTTTTGTTAATGTCTGTCTCTTTGCAAAATGGCATGTTTGCATATGTGAATTACTAAATGTCTGTGAGGGCACACTGTATCTTTTAGATAGTAGCATGCTTAAAAGAGACAGGCCAAGGAAGGAGGAAAAATTAGCAGTCCTTCTCCAGAAGTGGTTTACCTCAGATTCACTATTATCCACGTGAGCTTGAATACCTAGTCTACTCATGGGATCTTGCTGATCTGTTTCCTCTTTAATGATCCAAGTGTTTTACTACTATATGATATCTCCTTTTGTGAAAATGAAACAGAGAGAAATGGGTGAAATATTTTCTGTTTATCAGTGTAGTATATATGATAATCTTTCCTCCTAAACTAAAGGAACTAAAAGGAAGCAGCTATTACTACTCAGATTTTACTGTTTAGTTATCATGTAACTTTAGAGCCAGAAATAAGCACTTCTATTCTCTAAAGTTATACACAAAGCTTCTGAAGTCCCTTTAGGTTTTTTAATTGCCTAAACTTATATTAGGTAATTAATTAATTACCTGATCTAGATCTCTAAAGCTCAGGTCTCTTGATTCCTACCTTAGTACTTTTCCCCTTGTTCCATACTGCCCTCTGTTTTTCCAAAACAAGCATGGTACACTTATAAAATATAAAATTGGAATAACTATGAGTTATCTAAGATAATACTTGTAGTACACATATATATATATGGTAAAATGAAGGGGATTGTAAAATGAAGTAGCATCACCACTGATAGAGAAGAAAATGAATCCTGCCCCTTACTTTTTTTTATTATTATTTTTTAAGTATTATTGATAAACACTTTTATGAAGGATTCACAAGAAAACAATGTGGTTATTGCATTCACCCTTATTATCAAGTCCCCCCACATATCCCATTGCAGTCACTGTCCATCAGTGTCGTAAGATGCCACAGAGTCACCATTTCTCTTCTCTGAGCTACACTGTCTTTCCTGTGACCCCACAAACACCATATGCACCAATCATGATACCCCACAATCCCCTTTGCACTCCCTCCCCATCCGCCCTACCCCCCTTTTGTAACCACTAGACCCTTCTTGGAGCCTGTGGGTCTGCTTGCTCTTTTGTTCCTTTAGTTTTGCTTCATTGTTATACTCCACAAATGAGGGAAATCATTTGGTATTTGTCTTTCTCTGCCTGTTTTATTTCACTGAGCATAATACCCTCTAGCTCCATCCATGTTGTTACAAGTGGTAAGATTTGTTTCTTTCTTATGACTGAATAGTATTCCATTGTGTATATGTACCACATCTTTATCCATTCATCTACTGATGGACACTTCGGTTGCTTCCATATCTTGGCTATTGTAAATAGTGCTATGATAAACATAGGGATGCGTATGTCTTTTTGAATCTGAGAACTTGTTTTCTTTGGGTAAATTCATCAGAGTGGAATTCCCGGGTCAAATGATACTTCTATTTTTAGTTTTTTGAGGAACCTCCATATTGCTTTCCACAATGGTTGAACTAGTTTACATTCCCACCAGCAGTGTAGGAGGGTTCCCCTTTCGCCACACCATCACCAGAATTTGTTATTCCTAGTCTTTTCTTTGTTGGCCATCCTAACTGGTGTGAGGTGGGATCTCATTGTGGTTTTAATTTGCGCTTCCCTGATAATAAGCGATGGAAAGCATGTTTTCATGTGCCTGTTGGTCATCTGAATTTCTTCTTTGGAGAAGTGTCTGTTCATATCCTCCACCCATTTTTTAATAGGGTTATTTGGTTTTGGGTGTTGAGGCATGTGAGTTATTTATATATTTTGGATGTTAACCCCTTGTCAGATGTATCATTTACAAACATGTAACATATCATTTACAAAAATCCATACTATAGAATGCCTTTTTGTTCTGCTGATTGTGTCCTTTGCTGTACAGAAGCTTTTTAGCATGATGTAGTCCCATTTGTTCATTTTTTATCATGTTTCCCTTGCCCAAGGAGATCCGTTCACGAAAAAGTTGCTCATGTTTATATTCAAGAGATTTTTGCCTATGTTTTCTTCTAAGAGTTTTATAGTTTCATGACTTACATTCAGGTCTTTGATCCATTTCGAGTTTACTTGTGTGTACAGGGTTAGACAATAGTCCAATTTCATTCTCTTGCATGTATCTGTCCAGTTTTGCCAACAACATTTGTACAAGAAGCTGTCATTTCTCCATTGTATATCCATGGCTCCTTTATCATATATTAATTGACTATATATGCTTGGGTTTGTATCTGGGCTCTTTAGTCTGTTCCATTGGTCTATGGGTCTTTTCTTGTGCCAGTACCAAATTGTCTTGATTACTGTGGCTTTGTAGTAGAGCTTGAAGTCTGGGAGCGTAATCCTCCCAGCTTTCTTCTTCCTTCTCAGGATTGCTTTGCCTGTTTGGGGTCTTTTGTGGTTCCATATGAATTTTAGAACTATTTGCTCTAGTTCATTGAAGAATGCCATTGATATTTTGATAGGGATTGCATTGAATCTGTAGATTGCTTTAGGAAGGATGGCCATTTTGACAATATTAATTCTTCCTATCCATGAGCATGGGATGTGTTTCCATTTATTGGTATCTTTAATTTCTCTCGTGAGTGTCTTGTAGTTTTCAGAGTATATATAGGTCTTTCACTTCTTTGGTTAGGTTTATTCCTAGGTATTTATTCTTTTTGATGCAGTTGTAAATGGAATTGTTTCATCATTAGTGTATAGGAATGCCATAGATTTCTGTGTATTAATTTTGTATCTGACAACTTTGCTGAATTTGGGTATTAGATCTAGTAGTTTTGGAGTGGATTCTTTAGAGTTTTTTATGTACAGTATCATGCCATCTGCAAAC